AATAAGATTTAGATAATCAAATTTAGCCTGTCCTCCAATTGTCTCTTATCATATTTGTGATTAACAAAAACCGGACTCCTACCTCATGTTTGTTCGATTTCATTAATCATTCATTTGATAACTGCCCAAATTGGATTCCACTTAGTTCTACTGCAATTACAACTTACAGCCTGTAATTATACTGGAAATTACCAAATGGGACTCCTGCATCACAGTTGTCCAATTTTGTCAATCATTCGTAAGTTGGATTACAAACTGAATTGGACTCCCTTCAGTCTGATTACCATTTCTTATCAGTACACCTCATCTATATAATCTGGTTCTGATATTTCAGTGCGGTACTGTTTAACCTATACCTACCAGCCACTCCTTTAGCTTGATAGAAACCATTCACAGTCAATCATTTTGTCAATCATTCAATTTCAATTTTGTCAATCATTCGTAAGTTGGATTACAAACTGAATTGGACTCCCTTCAGTCTGATTACCATTTCTTATCAGTACACCTCATCTGTATAATCTGGTTCTGATATTTCAGTGTGGTACTGTTTAACCTATACCTACCAGCCACTCCTTTAGCTTGATAGAAACCATTCACAGTCGGATGCGCTGTCAGTATTTCACATTTTGCAGGTGACTTTAAAATAATATTCCTGTACTTTCTTGTCAAATTGAAATAACCTGATGCTAGGAATAGCTTAGTAGCTTGAGATGCACAACTCAGTAACTTGCTGGTGACAATCTCATCCTGACGAATGCCAAAGGGAAACATTTGGACTAAAGGAACAACCCAGGTATCACAAACCTGGTTTGACGTCCTCTACAAATCACTGCAGTTGTGTTTTTCTTTTTGGTTCTGCAAATACTTAGATACCCTCCTTCCTGCTTCAGCCTTGAATTTCTTTCCACCATCAAATCCTTCAGTTGGATGAACGGGAAAGTTTTCTCCCATTTTTGTTGTGTTATCTGGTTGAAGTTCAAGAGAGAAAGCTTGCACAGTTGAAACAAGACCATGAAAAAAGTTTGCCAGCTGTGGACAATTCTTGATCTCAATGTATCGGTCCTGACGGTTGGTGAAATAGTCTGCACTCAGGTTAGCCCTAGTGAAGATAAAAGTGCATGTAAATATTGACAGATGGACAGACAGAAAGACTGACAGATTGAGTTTCAGTTGACTTTTTTATAAACTGATAACATTAATTTACTGACCAATTGACTTAAAATTAATTATATGCTTAAGGGCTACACTGATTAACTGATAGACAGAGGGGCAACCAAGCAGCCAACCAACTGAAAGATGGACTGTCAGACTGGCTACCTTACTGCCTGGCTGAAATATTTAAACCTTTTCCCTCAAAGACTGCAACATCAATTCTCCCCTCTGTCTTCCCCTTTTCTTCTTTTGTCTTCTACTTATCACCCTTCTGGTTGATATTGTATTGAAATTATTGGGAGAAATACTTATCCGCCACAGTCCTGGGAGTGGAAGGGTTTAAAAAATATCTTCAATATCTGACTGACAACCAGGTACATGACAATCATGCTAGAAAATCTAAGCATAACAGAGCAAGACAACTGCCCTTCTGTTACACCATTGCAACAAAACTATCCTATAATGGTGACAATGGCTGGGACTGGATGCTGTGCAGATGTTTCATCCTTAACCCTTTCACTCCCAGATCCTCTCAGTAATTCTCATCATAGTCTGCCATACAATTGTTATCATTTTAGTTTGGGAGAATTTGGTATTGGATCAACCAATAAGAAGTGACATTTTTCTCTACTCTCATCATCTTTCTAATTGATATTGTGCTGATGTTGTAAGGAGAAATTCTGTGTTGGTCATTTGTAGAAGTTTAATGGTTAGTTTGTCAGTTACTTACCCACTCATGATCAAAGTGTCATCAGTAAGATAAACCTTCAGATGTGTGAGGGCCACTGTCTCATTAAACCTTTCAGGAAGGAGCAGCTTCAGCAGGCCTCTGAGACTGGGTGAATGATACAGGGACACCTTGACAGCAGGACTGAAGCTCTGAATGAGTGGTAAGAGCATAGTTCTAGAGTTGTGTTCTCCTCTGGATCCTCGAGTGTGTTCCAAAAGGATCTCTACGTTTAGAGACTTATCCAAAGAGGAAGATCGCTTCACAGCATTATAGATGCAATCAACCTAGAGACAAGTATTTGGTAGTTGTTGCTAATTGATATTTTTCACTTATCACTGTTTTTTCATACATGTTCATAAACCGTTTCACTCCTAAGATCTGATTGTTAATTCTACCCTCTGGCTGTCCCACATTTTCTTCTAAATTATTAATGAGAATTTTTTCTTATATCAAGTTAACAAATTCTACCTAATAAGCTTGAACATTCTCATAACCTGTTTGCTGGATACTGTCTGGATATTTTAGGGAGAAGTTACATGTTAATCACTCCTAAGAGTTAAAGGGTTAATGTTCAATTTTCATTATCCTAGGAAAATTTTTAAAAGCCTTATGTAGTATTCTGAAAATTGTAATTTTGAGTGGTTGCCATATATTTTTTTACCAAATCCTGGTTCATGTATTTGGTCTTTTAGCCTGATCATCAGTGTTAGAGTTGTTCTGAGAAGGACTGTCGTCTGTTGTAGTGAATGACATTTCAACATGCAACCATGGTGGAAGTCATCATTCAAATAATAATAACCTCTGTGACTCTCTTCTCCTGGAAACAGTTCTTCTCAACACCACACTCATTCTAATGATCATACTACATGGTCACTCATGGGTTCAAAAGACTTGCTGTATGACCAAGTATGATGGAAAAGGGCAACCTCATGTATTAGTGATTGGCTGGGATGAAAACCATTACAATATATATGGCAAAATAAGAATGTTATTGTTCCGAGTATTCTAAATAACGGAGGCTTAGATGAAGCCTCTGAAGTCCAGTAACAAGCAGGTAAGCTCTCACAGGCACTAACAGCTGTGAGAAAGCTAGGTTCTAAAGGCCGACTGACAGACTTGTGCTCCAGAACAAATGAGAGTTCTCTATCTGGCTGAAAATGCTGTTAAGCCAATCAATTTGAGTTATATGGTCACCTACAAGTTGTTGCTCTTTTTCTCCTGTCCCTAAATACAGTGAAGCCAAAATAATCCGGCGTTTTGCTTTGCTGACGTTATCCTTGGAAAGGAAGAATATCAATAAAGAAAACAGTTAGCTTGAAAACAACGTAAACTTGAACCTTGTACCGCGTGTATACACAATATCAATAAACGATATCCAGTTTGGTTCACATCCTACCTTGAGAGTTAAAAAAAACTGCTCCGGTTCATTTAAAACTGTAATTTCCTTCCCATTCGCCGGGAATACAGGTGCATATTCTGCCATCCATTGGACTGTTTCCATTGGAGTTTGACCGGGAGAAGAGCCGCCATAATAACAACTCGATGTTGAAAAAAACTTTGAACTAATCCAAACACAAAATTTAGAGGATCTCGCAAACAAAACTGGCCCAAAATCAAGCACAGTTTGCATTACTTGACAGAAGTTTTTTTTTCCCAAAGATGAGCACGTTTTCTTTGTAACCGAGCTTGGAATTAGTGACCAAGCCTTCCCGGGTTGCCAGGCGAAGGAGACAACAACAAGGTCCGCCATCTTTGCCGTCGTTTCGCGTTGTGGAATCTTATTTGTATGTTCTCTGCTGTTTAAACTAACGGTAGGTATGCTATCCAAGTTATTTTTAACTAGATTTATCTGTTCCTTTTTCTCAAAACTTTAAATAGCTGTTTGCAATCTCTATGTGGTTGTAATCTAACAGTTTTTACCGCTATTTTGTTCTTTGCCTGTATATCGTTGCATCGACAAACTCTTGCAACAGCTACCACTAAGATGGCCGTAGTGAAAGTTGGTTACTGTTTAAACCAAAATCTTTTTCGAAGGTACATTTCATTTTTTTGATCCCAGTTTTCCCTCTCCTCGGTTGTTTCTGTGGACACAAGTATCTAAAATGGAGATTGTATATGTATACACAAAGAAGAGAAGTGAATTTGGACGTCAGTGCAACTTCTCTGATCGTCAAGCAGAGCTCCATGTAGACATAGCTCCAGATGAAAAACTTCTGCAAGACTACATTGAGAAAAATCCCTGTGATACAGGAATTCAATGTGTTCAAGAAATGTCGGAGCATGAGGTACTGTTAGTAGTAAAAGTACAGCCTCTATTAGGCTGCAACCTATCATAGGTAGACACTTCCTAGGTGTAGACTCTTAAGTATAGATCCAGGTACATAGTAGATTCAATTTCTTGTTCAAATTTTTTAAACCTCCAAATACCAAATTTTTTCATTTATTAGCTAACACTTTTTCTGGTCCTCCGAGGTTAAATTGCATAAGAATTAAATGCCCAACTTGAAAGTGCTAGTACACATGTTGATTCTTAGCAAGGATCACTTAATAACATGATTTGAAAAGAATAGCATGGTAGTCAATAGGGTGGAAAGGAAGATGGATGCATAATTGTTGATTACTGATGCTTTTAACTTTTTAACAAAAGTCTTGACTGTTATCGTGACTTCTTGGATATCATGCCGTCAAAAAATCAGTTATAAACCAATAGAAGTCTTCTTAGGACCTCTCTCAAGAGAGTCAGACTTTAAAACACTTGAAAACTTGTTGCAAGACATATTATTACTTGTTGAGGTGAATACAGAGAGGTTTGAGACAGAAAGTCGTGGTATAAACCATGTGGAGGGTGGATGGCCAAAAGATGTAAATCCCGCTGAGGTTGAACAAACCATTAGGTACAGGAAAAAAGTGGAAAAGGACGAGATCTACATGAATACCATTCAACAACTTTCAAATGTAAGTTCATGAAAATACATCCAATTTTTGTTCAGTGGCAATTGATAAAGGTGAATCAGAGCATTCAAATTATGTTCACAAAAGCTTAGAGATCACCTTTTAATTTGATTTCAGTGATTAAACTCTTCTTTTCCATACTCTTCAGGCCTATCTCTCAGTTTTGAAGCAGCTGTTACATTTGGAGCTATCACCCATAGCAGTGTAATATATAGTATAGTATAACACAGCAATCAAAATCTTCACCTGTAACATAGAGTGAGCTCAGCTGTAACAGGTGTTACACATTATAGCCCTAATCGACAGCCCTAATCAACAGCCCTACTCTTTACTCTTATTGTGATATACAACTTCTATTTGTTACCTTTCAGATTATGGAACACTGCATCAAACAGAACAATGCAATTGACATCTATGAGGAGTACTTTTCAGACATTGATGTGGACACGTCTGGTGACCCACCATCAGCCAAAACTATCAATGTATTTAGGTAAACAAATGGAACATCTCAAAAGAAAACCACAAATTTAAACCATAACGGTATACCTCAATAAAAGAAGAAACACATCTGTGCATGTGAACTTCAATATTAATAAAGGATAAATGGTAAAATTATGCAATTGTTGACAGAAAGGATAATTTTATACTTAGTCTAATTGATTCATTTAATTTTGCCCATTACCTAATCATTTGACATGTTTTGTTTTCGTTTCTTCAGAGATCCTCATGACACTAAGCGCACAGCTACCAGCCTTTCATGGTATCCAGATAGTTCAGGGAAGCTGGCTGTGGCTTATTCTATTTTAGAGTTTCAGCAGTTTGCAGGAGAGACGGCCATGGACTCATACATATGGGACATCGGTAAGAATTTGTTGAAAGAGTTTCTTGTTACATATATCTTAAGGTTGTTTTTATGACTTGGACACTCATATTTACTTCTTTGCACTCCAATGTTTGTCTTCACAGAAAATCCAAATAAACCAGAGTTGGCTTTGAAACCTGTGTCACCACTAGTTTGCCTGGAATATAACCCAAAAGATCCTCATATTCTTGTTGGAGGATGCTACAATGGACAGTTAGGTATTGTTAGTAAAAAGATTTACATTTGATTTTCTTCATTTAGCATGCAGACTTATGATAAACTTGCTTTGATTTGTCATTCCCACATTCAAAAGGGAACTCAATTAATCAATCAATCAAATCAATCCATTTTTTTTTGTTCATGTGAAAGAATGGTATGGGGACACCCTCTACATCAAAACCAGAAGCTCAAGTGTAACATGCATGACCAAAAATTAGGAAATGGTGTAAAGTCAGAGGAATTCATTCATTACACTGTAACTACTAAAAGTAGAATTAATATTTACTAAATTATATGTGAGGCAGGAAAGCTAGAGAAGATGATATTAAGATGCAAATCTTTTTATCATACATTATCTGACCTTCTAATAAAACTTAACAGGATTTTGGGACACAAGAAAGGGATCTCATCCTGTGGAAATGACAGCTATTGAGCACAGCCACAGGGACCCTGTCTACAAAACAATGTTCCTTCAGTCAAAAACAGGTCAGTGTTGTTGCTCTTGAGCAATTTTACTTAAAGTATCTCTGAACATAACATACTGATTTGATTTTGCAAATGACATGCCTCAATGCCCAATATTTTTTGTAGGTACTGAATTCTTTTCCACCAGTACTGATGGGCGAGTTCTGTGGTGGGACATTCGTAGAATGGGTGGAGAACCTACAGAGTCCTTGCTACTCTGTCCAAACCCAAAGAAAGATCCTAGGCCACAGGGAGCATTCTCCTTAGAGTATGAACCCACCATGCCTACAAAGTTTATGGTTGGAACAGAGCAAGGATCAGTGTTGTCTTGTAATAGAAAGGCAAAGTCACCTTCAGAGAAGATTGTGTGTTCATTTTCCCAGCATTATGGACCTGTGTATGCAGTTCAGGTGAATTGCTTCATGTTAAATGTGTGTATGTTAATATCAAGGTTCCTGATTGTAATTATGTTCTGTGATATTCAGGGGTAGGAATCAAGTGACCATAATACAACATCATAGAAATGTGTATTCCAGCTTTGGCTGGTAGGCAGATTAAAAATCAGTTAGAAGACAGGATAATTTATGTACAAAAAAATAACAGAAACCATATCATACTTATGTGCAATTTAACCCAATTATGCATGGCCACAAAGGTGCAATTAATTTGTGAGCAATTTTTGTTGTAGAGAAAAGCAAATTTAAACTAAATATGCATCCGTTGCTTTAACTCCTCAGCGTAACCCATTCTTCCCAAAGAACTTCTTGACCATTGGAGACTGGACAGCAAGGGTAAGTTAGAACATGGTAATCAATCAAGTTATAATTATAGTGTTCCAGTGCCCTGTGATGTTGTCAACACATTTTATGAAGATGGATTGCATGCATGATGAGAAGGAGATGCTCTGAGGGTTAAATTTCAGTGAACAACATAGATAGTGAAATTGTTGATTTTTTTTTAATATATGGTGCAGCTGAATTTAAATGATTTTCTCTCTTTTTTTTTTTCTTGCCTCAGATATGGTCTGAGGATCTTAGAGAATCATCTATTATGTGGACTAAGTAAGTAACAAGTTTGTAATAATAGCTCTTAGCAATACTGTAATTCCTTTCTGTTCAAAATCCTTCATACTAGTCACTCACTGAAAGCTCGGAAGCAAAAGGAAAACTAATGACACGCCACAAGTCACCAGTAGCCAAGGAAGTCTTTATGCATGGTCATCAAAAGAAAATAGTTCTTAAATAGTTATTTTTGTTCGTGATTTACCAGGCAACACATGTCGTACATGACAGATGGATGTTGGAGTCCTGTGCGGCCTGCTGTGTTCTTTACCACTAAAATGGATGGTACATTGGATGTGTGGGACTATTTATTCAAACAGAATGACCCAACACTCAGTATTCAAGTAAGTCCAGCCTTGTCTGGTTAGATGGGTATAGCAATTGTTGAAAGTACAAACTGTTTTGAGCAATTTGGATGATATATATGTACACTTGATTTATGCATATAATTTTTGACGTAGTTTATGTTGGTGGACTATTAAAAGTGACTGCGTATTTGAGCACGATCTTCGCAGTAAAGTGAATACATTAGAACTTCTGTTTGGAGCACGTAATGAACCCCCCCCCCCCCATCCAGGGACGAACACAAACTTTGGCCTGACCAAACAACGTGTCAGCGTAACAGCTCCTAACCCTTTTACCTTTTGAATTATGTTCAATTTTCCAACGAAAAAATTAACACATTTTGGAAAGGTAAATGATTAAATAACAAGATGGAACTTTTATTTCTGGTTTGTTGTTAGGTTTGTGACGAATCTCTGAATTCGCTCCGTGTGCAAGAGCATGGCAGGTTGGTAGCCTGTGGTTCACACTCTGGTACTGTCACTCTACTGGAGTTGTCTGATGGCCTGTGCAACATTCAGAGAAATGAGAAGGCTTCCGTCACTGCGGTAAGAATGGCATGTTGAAGCATGTATTTAGGCATGTATGTTCTATGAAACCCTGAATATCTTAAAGCACTGCACTCTGATTTCAATTTCGTGTGATTTGCTCTTTCAGATGTTTGAAAGGGAAACAAAACGAGAAAAGATTCTAGAAACAAGACATCGTGAGATGAGGCTGAAGGAACGATCAAAAAGTTCTCAGGACAAGTAAGATAATATACTTGCTTTGAACTGTCTCGCTTCAATCTTTTAAGTCATATATACAGGATTAGTCCTCCACAGAGCAACTCAGCAGTCTGCGCATGTGCAAGTGTTGTAATTACGAGTCATTACAAGGTAGCGTGCTTTCAGGCTGTCAGAACCAAGTTTTCTCAAGCAAGTTATAAATATAATCACACAAGCCAGTCAGTCACGGTGTGTTAAACGCGAATATCTTTTCTGGTAAAGTAAAAAACAAAAAGAACAGTAAATTAACAGGATATCCGTACTAGGATAAGTTTTGAATTGAAAGAGTTTACCCAATTTTATACAGATTTCTATTACAGTTTCAGTTTTCTTTCGCTTACTTGCGAGACAGCGGTTGTTTCTTATGGTCTTCCTTGGTATTTTTGCGCGGGAAATTGGCGTGCGGCCAGCCAGAATTGATCGCCTCGCGCATGCCCGACGTTTGACCACTGTTTTGGAAAAAGCACCCTCAGACATAGTTAAGTTTTGACTTGCGTGTCTGCTTTTTCCTGTAGAGAGGAAACACATGAACAAGCTGAGGAGGAAGAAGGAGAGGATTTGGTTAGCAAAGCAGAAGCTGAGTTCTTCAAGATTGTTGATGCGGAGAAGAAAGCTCTAGAGGAAGCTGAAAACAAAAGGAATGCGGCCTTTTCTGAGGTGAAACAGGCCATAGCGCAAGAGGGGGTCACTCATGAAGAATATCAAGAAGGAGCTAGTGAAGAGAAGCAGTCTGACACGGTAAGAGAACTTTCTTGTTTTCTTATGTAGCGTGCGTTTGAGGCGAAAGTGTACATGTAGATGCTCGAAGTTATGCGAATAAAATAAAAATAGACTTACAATTGACGTTTTTCGCGACTGTAGCTTTTCACAAACTACTTTATTTTCGCAGAGCTAGGTAATAATATTTTCTTTTGCTTTCCTAGGCTCCACCAGATGATGCTGAAAGTTCCGATAAAACTGAAGAATCTGTGAAAGAGTAACAGTGGTTACTGAACAATCGCAGCTGTCACTGCAGTATCGCTAATCAAGTGAATTATCAATTTGACGAACGCTGTAAATAGTTTGCAAGGTTTCTTGTTACCAAACTGTGTGTGTTATGTACAGAAAAACGCATCAAGAAAGGGTACGTTCATTCCCTGGCTTTATCGTGTATGTAAATATCGTTTTAACAGTTCGTTCAATTCTTTTATTTTTGAAATAAAGAACTGAAACTTAGTTACACAAATGTTTTGGAAAAATGTAATTATACATTTTTTATGTTAATGTACACTGACTATGGGGCTTTTTTTTCTTTTTTCAACGAGAGGGAAGGAAAGAGGGAAAAGTTTTCTCCGCGAATTGATTGACAGAAGACGCTATAATGATTGAAAACAAATTCAAACTATTATTTTGTAAGCCCGTGCCGTTTTGAAAAATGTTTGATGGAAACGAAGGAACACTAAAACCTGCTTTTAGTCCCTAGGTCCAGTTGTCTTCCCTTTGTGTAAGTTGGTGTAGAATGACTGTTTCCGGGAATTATGGCAGTCGAGTTCCTTGTGAATTCCCCTTCGGGGTGCTGAACGACAGTGAAAAAACTTGTTTTACGCAATCTTGTTAGTATAGATTACTCTGGCGAGTGAGCTTAGTCACTCTATAATAGGTCTACAGTGAATGCCTTTATTCTGAACCTTTTTCTAGACTTAGGTATGAGTTCGGATATGAGAGCAAAAAATTGAGATCCTCTTAGCTGGAATTTGACACCTTAGTGCCTTATTTGCATTGAAGGGACCACCCAAACGGGATGTGTTCTTTTGTTTCATAACTACTGAGATTTACACTGAGAAGTACTATCTGATTGGAAGACGATGTCATTTCACAGTCGTTCCCTTCCAATCTTTGAAATGTGTCAGTCAGTCAGAAAAAGTCTCTCAGCATGTATGAACAAAATTATCATAGCGTGGAAAGTGCGCGCGAACGATTTTTATTTACTCGTTGCGATGCATATAAAAACTCGTTCGTTCACTGCGCTCACGCGTTCATGTTTTGATGCATCGCAACTCGTGAATGAATATCGTTCGCGCTCACTTTCCATGGAATAATCTCTAGATCTATAGCATTTCAAAAGCTACCTTAGTTTTAGAACCACAAAGAACTACACGCTGCACTAGCCGAAACCCAGTTTACTGGGGCAATGACGCTCCATAGCTAAAGAAATAAGATCCAGTGGGCAAACCTTCTAGGTCGAAAGCTTGTAACAAACAGATGACAAAAATTTATCCTTTAAAAGTCTAAATAGCCAACTGAATGACAGAATGAGGTTTCCTTGGCAGCCGGTGTTTGCTCTGATCACACAACACGTTTTAGTTTTGAAGCTCAAGCGACGGCTACCATTTAAACAATAGATTATAATAGACCCGAGCGCTTTTCAATACATACATTTGCATGGCTACTAAACTTTGCTTCAAGTCTTTGCAACTATTTCATTGTTTTTGCATCTGATTTTGCTCTTCGCTTCTTTTAGATATATACATGTTAGCTACATCAACAAAGGCATGCCAATGACGAGCAAAATGAACGAGAACTGATCAGAAACTAGCAAAACTAGCTACGTAAATCGTCTGATAAACTTCGCATAGCTGAAATTGTGAAGCAACCGTGTACGCTCCCCTGAAAAAAAGAGTGCAACTAAGTCGTCTTTATTTTCGTAAGCGTAAAAAGACTGGATTCGTCAAAATGTTCCTCAGTAGCATGTAGGGGAGCAGGGTTGGCGTAGTGGTGAGAGCGCTCGCCTTCCACCAGTGTGTCCAGGGTTCGATTCCCGGACCCGGCGTCATAGGTGGATTGAGTTTGTTGGTTCTCTACTCTGCTCTGAGAGGTTATTCTCCGGGTACTCCGGTTTTCCCCTCTCCTCAAAAACTATCATCATTTTAATTTATTTAATTTAGAGTTTATTTAGATTTACACACGACCCCACAAGCTGTTCTGCTTTAAACATTATCGTGTCTAAATATAGGTGTTATTATTTTTTTTTTCTCGAATACTTCTGCTTACCTTGTGTAACAACGATAATTATAAGGATGATGATAATGATAAACTTTATTCATGTGTCGATGTATTTAGCTGACGCTAATTGGGGACAAAACGTAAATGAATAACCTAATTAATGATAAGAAATAAGCTATAGATTATATAACCTAAGAGGTTATATAATCTATAGCTAATATAATGATATAGATTATATTATAATAAATTATAATAATATAAATTATATAATATAGATTATATACAAGATTATATACAATCTATATTATAGAGAGGGGGGGAGGATATCCGTTTCGCTTTCCAGAGAGACGTTTGTGAAACACTTAGCACACTCAGCTTCTGTTTCCAGGCTATTCTTTTTATCATTTTTTGAAATTTCCTTTATCATTTCTTTCTTATGCTGTACCTGTATCAGGATCAGTGTGATAACAGCAACTACTGGAACGTTCTGAAGGTTATCTCTTATATCACTCTGCTCAGGAACACGCCCTTACAGCCCTATAAAGGGACAGTTATCATGCGAGCGTAAAACAATTGACGTGGCTGAAAAAAAAAAAAAAGATTCCTCACCGATAACCTACTTTACGGTTGTAACTCAGACTGCTAGTGACATATATTGCTATTTCTACGAGATAACTGAAAATTTGATCACCAGCGAAAATGATATTTGAAAGAGAAGTTTAATGTTGCTTGATAAGAGAACTATTGTGAAAATGTATTCTAATACTTTCAATACGCACCCGCGTGACAGTGACACTTGAAATCTTAAACATGCATACCGTGCTGGTTGGGGAGCTTAAACCCAATTTATTAACAGTTGGGTCACCGTGTATTCTCGCTGCACAAAATCTACCCTGATGTAAATGTTACTTAGGCTGAAATGTCCTCCAAAATGAAACGTTTTCGTGGTCCTTTCACACAGCAACTGTCAGGAACAACAGAGTCATTCAAAGCAGTGACTTCCTTGGCAAACCTCGAGTCTTGCCAGTCAGTTTAGTTGTACCAACCGCAACATTCACCCTATGAGTAACATCAAATCATTTAATCAAAATGGAATGCATGCAATATAGATGTTCCTCTTAGTTTCTCAGCCCGAAAAACATTTAAGAATATTTTAATCGTGTAGTTAATCTTTCAAGCTTATTTGTTGACCACATTTGACAAAACCAAAACCTCTTCCGGTCTCTATTTTTGTCCTAGGGCTTAATTTGGGATACACCGAAGTCTGAATTAATAATAAGCTTGTTCTACTGCGGATCGAACGATTCCAACTCGACCTATATATACGGGTCAGATTCGTTGTAAATGTATCGTGTTCCAAAACGCTCACATCATGTGGATTGCGGTTGCGAATTAATCTTTTTTCACCAGCATTTTTAAAGTTACTTTTAAAATGCGGAACACTTTTTGGTTTCTTTCCGTTTGCTTTTTTCAGGTTCCAGAAACCTGACATTTATCCATTTTTGTAACCGAAAGAAACACCAAAATAGCAGCCAGTTCAAAAAGGCTTCATGGAATCTCTCATGAAAAGGAAAACGATATTGACTACTTTCTCCTGCAGGGCGTCAACCGCTTTAGATGGATCCGTTTCTCTTCCATAGAGTTCTCGGATAGTTATCGTCACGTTTCTATCAATTGCAAGTGTCTCCTTGATCTGATTGAGGTGAATTATGATACAAAACACATTAATAAGTTTTCGAAGCTATGGTTATTGCAATTTTTGTCTAAAATTTATCGGATGTTTTCGATGCAATGCATACCTTGTCACGATCTTTAGAACCACAAGCAGCTCCAGAAATTTCAAATGCTACCCCGAACAGCAACACAACTGAGACCTGGAGTTTTTTTTTTAAAGGAAACATTTACCGTTATCACCGAAGTGAAGGACGATGTTTGTAAAAAGGCTGTACATAGCTGCTTCTGGCTGAAAGAAAATTTTTCCCGCAGAACAGGGACAGGAGAGCGAGGCAACCTCGTTCCCAGCCTCTCTATCTATCCAGTAAGCCAATGCTGCCGGAACCCCGCCCTTCTTGCCACGAATACATCCACTAGTATGGTAGGCAGACCTTTCACGGCCAAGCAGAGGTAGATTTCAGTTAGCGTGACACGGTAGGATCTGGGCACGAGATCATTCTTCCAATGCGCAACAGTTTAAGCAAGAATTACAAAAATGTTCGAGTTGGCAACAAACGTCACTTACGATTACAAAGAGACGTCTTTTTTCCTTGGTAGATGCCCAAAAAGCAAAGAAGGAAACCAGGATATTAAAGACTCCAGCAGTAACCATAAGCTTAGACGCTGTTGCATAAAGTACAGACGTCGAGATTGCCTCATATCGACCAAACTCGCATAAACTCCATGAGCCAACGCCTACTAACACATAACCAAATACCCAGGGACAAAATTCATCGGGGAGAAGTTTCAGAAAAATGGGTGTAATGATTTGAAAATTTGCGTTTTCGGCAGAATTTTTTTAAGATTGTTTGGTTATTTTTCAGATGTATGTATGTATTACCTGGTGGGAATAATAAATAATAATAATAAAAAAGCATTTATATAGCGCTAAGCTCGACTGGTTCTCCGTAGCGCTTTGCAAAATTATAGACTAATTAACATAGCAATTAAATTATAACAAATCGTAAATTAAAAAGCGTCTTTGAACAAGTATGTTTTAAGGTTCTTCTTGAAAATTGCAACAGATTCAGATGTTTTCAGGGAATATGGTAAATCGTTCCAAAGCTTGGGACCGGCAATGGAGAAGGCACGGTCACCATAGTTCTTTGGAAATGTTCTTGGAACCATCAGGAGCATTTGTGATGAGGAACGCAGTACACCAGAGCCATAATTCCTTTGATGCAACAGTTCAGCAATATAAGTTGGAGCTAAGCCATGTAGACCTTTATAGACAAGTAGAAGTATTTTGAAGATAATGCGGTACTTAACAGGTAGCCAATGAAGTTTCTTTAATGCAGGTGTAATATGTTCCCATTTCTTTGTCAACGTAATAACTCGCGCAGCAACAGCGTTCTGTATAGACTGTCGCTTGTTAATCATATAGTCAGGTAGTCCATAGAGAAGAGAATTGCAATTATCCATTTTAGATGTAATGTAAGCATGAATCACAATTTCAGCAGTTTTCGGACTGAGATATTTTCGTATCTTACTTATGTTCCTTAGGTGATAGTACGAAGCTTGACAGA